TGGGAGGAGGAAAAAGAGAAGGTAATAGTAGAAGAAGAGGAGGACAGTCCTCAGACAGAATTTTGTCACTTGTGCAAATCTTCAGCAGGCAGGACAGCCCTTGGAAACCTCTTCTGTCGGCTCCATTAAGTCCTGGCTCTCTGGCTTCTGGGTTCTCCGATGGCACCTTCCAGGAAAGGCTGTCTCTGGGCAGATGCAACGATCCCTATTCTGGGAGCAGCTCTGGGAACTGAAGTGCAGAACTTGTGCACGTGGCTGCTTCAGGTCTGAGCCTGGTGCCCTGGCCTGACTCCATCCCTGTGCCCTGCCCATGCCAGGGGTCAGCACGGCACCTAGCCGTGCCCAGGGAACAAACACCACCAACTTCACGAGTGAAAACGAATTCCTAGTCCACATTAGCTGATCAGCAGAGCCTCCGGCGTTGATCTGAGATCAGAGTAGCTGAAGCACTGTCCCTCCTGACTCTGGAGGGTGGGCTTCTGAATTTTTTTGAACAGTATGTTTTGGAAAAAAGTCCAACTTACAAAGAAGTTTCATCAATAGGACAATGAACTTCATCTAAACTTCATTAACCTTTTTATCTAAGCCCACCCATTGTTACCATCGTGGTCACATTTGCTCACAGGCTCTTTTTCCATACGTGCATGTGTGTATATAAGAATGTGTACATTTACACACATGTGTATGATGTATAAGGATGTACATCTGTGTGTCTGTCATCTAGAATACACAGAGACTTATTTTTGCTGAACTGTAAAGATACCCCTCCCAGCTAAACCATTCTGAGTATATCTCCTAAGAACAAAGACATTCTCACACAATCACCGAAAAATCATCACAGCGAAGACATTAATATGATTACGGTATTATCATGTAATATAGTGTCCATTCTGTATTTTGCCAGTTGTTCCGATAATATCCTTTATTAACCTTTGTTTTCCAGCTAGGCTTCAATCCTAAAGTAAGTAAGGCAGTTAGTCATCTAATCTTTTTAATCTCCTGCACATGGAACAGCTGCACAGCCAATTTTTGTCATAACACTGCACATTTTTTTTAAGAAGACAGGCACTGGGCTGGGGATGTGGCTCAAGCGGTAGTGCGCTCGCCTGGCATGCGTGCGGCCCGGGTTCGATCCTCAGCACCACATACAAAGATGTTATGTCCACCAATAACTAAAAAAAAAAAAAAAAAAAAAAGAAGAAGACAGGCACATCATTTTGTAGAGAGCCCCTTGATTTGGGATTCTTGTTTCCTCGTGCTCTCCTCCTCCTCCTCCTCTTCCTCCTCCTCCTTCTTTTTTGCAATGCATTTTAGGCAAACAGCACAAAAGAAATGTTCCTTCCCTCAGAGAACCTTAGGAGTGATGCACTCTCTGATGCGAGTTTTGGGCCTTTGCTTAATGGGATGGGTCTAACAGAGTCTCCCCTGGTCAAAGTTGCTTTTCCTCTGCTTGGATTAACGTCAGCTGTGCAGTGGTACCACCAGTTACCTGAATATCCTGCTCCCAAGCAAACCCACCCCAAAGAACCAAATCATGAAGTTGGAACTTTGAAAGGAAATGGAGTCTCCCCTGAACTTGGCACAATCCTAAAACTACATCCACACGGTGCCGTACCAAATTCTAGGGCAGTCAGGACAGTCAATCTAGAGAGGTGTCCCCCGAGGGTTTTCTGATGGAATTCAAAGGGTCTTTCTTACACTTCAGGGGGAAACCAAGCCTGTCCTTGTTTTCAGCAACCCCGATATGAAATCAAATTTTCCCTTCAGAGATGACTGAGGCAACAATCCACAGCAGTACCTGTGACGATGTCATCTGTCTAAATTCCTGTTTTACCTGGTATCACATGAAGAATACGATATACAGTAATCACTTGTTTAAAGTCCTAGTAGTTGTGCCAGGCATAGGGGTGGGAGGTAAATGCCTGCAATCCCAGTGACTTTGGAGGCTGAGGCAGAAGGATCACAAGTTTAAGGCCAGCCTCAGCGATTTAGCAATGCCCTAAGTAATTTATCAAGATCCTGCCTCAAAATAAGAAGGGCTGGGGATGGAGGTTAGTGGTAAAGTGCCCCTGGGTTCACTCCCCAGTACTAATCAATCAATCAATTAATCAAATCATAGTGTTGTTAAACTCACCATTACATCTGTTATTTAATGTATTAAAAAAGAGAAGCACACATATTACACATCACAAGTTTTAAATACATTTTGACAGCAGATTTTCAAAGTTTCCTTTGTAATCCTACGTATTTTAATCCATGCACCTAAAAACATTACCCTGAAAGGGAGTCCATGGCCCCTGAAAAGGTTAACAGCTCCACCTGCGCCCTCTCACCTCCCAGCTGGTTCTCCCCATGGTTCCAGAATCATCTTCCGCAAACACCAGCTCTCCTGGCTTTCCTCCTTGGCTCTTGAATGCTTGTTGATTTGGGCAGCAGAATAAATGACATCCTTCCAAAGTCTGGCACAGCCTGGGGCCCAGCGCCTCACATGCTATCCCTCTGGTGTGCACCAGAGCCGCACCTCCTGGGCCTCCCCGTCTTCCCTTCGTTCTTTTGCTCCTGCCTTGGAAGCCACGCTCTCACTCTTTGTGCCTGTGGAGAACACCTACTGGTCCTTGGGACTCGGTCTGTTGTGAAGCCCTCCCTGATCTCCCAGCCCAAGCCACCCCTTCCCTTTTTCTTGGCCTGGTTCTTGCTCTGTCCCCCCTTCCCAGCCCTCCCCTGTGCCTGGCTGGGGCCAGTGTTTGGGTCTCACCTGTCTCTTCCCTGTTGAGCAAACTCTGCAGGGATATTTTCAGCACCTGACCAGGGCTGAAACTTTGCATATGATTAAGAAATTGGTCAATTGAATAGATAACAACAAATCCCCATTTTAAAGTAGGAAATCTTAGGCTGAGCTTGAGCCTTGAAAAGGCAAATGGTAGCCCCAAGGTTAGAGCCCAAGGCTCTGAGTCTCCAGCCTAGTCCTTTACCCACTGTAGAAGACCGAGGGCCTAACCAGTTCTGCAGCTTCCTGACTTGGAATTTCTCTAGGACTGTTTTGGTTGTCAGCTTCCTGTTGCTGCAATAAATACCAGAGGCAATTAGTTTATAAAAGAAAAGGTGTATTTTGGCTCAGTTTTGGAGGTTTCAGTCCATGACCATAGTTGGGCCTGTTGCTTTTGGGTCTCGGGAGAGACCAGGAGTGTATAAGGAGTAAGGAGAGAGAAGAAGCAGAGACAGAGATCCGGGTCCCACAATCCCCATCAGTGGCCCAACTCAGTGATCTAAAGACCTTTCACTAGGCTCCACCTTTAGAGGTTCCACCACCTACCAATGCACCATGGCTGGGGACCCAGCCTCCAGCGCATGGGCTTTCGAGGGACATTCCAGACCCAAACTCTAGCACTGTTAGTTATGTGGTCCTGCTGAACTGGGCACTCAGTGTTTCTGAGACAGGTTTATATTTATAGATATTTATAAATAAATGTCAGTCTTTATTTACAGATAAATATGGCAGTCACAATTATACCCACCAATTTGTTTGGATGTACTATTTCACCCTGAAATGGTTCTTAACCCCTGAATTTGTGCTTCTCAGAGCCCCACAGACCCATTTTTGCTTTTATACCTTAGTACCTCCTTATCCATGGTTTCACTTTCTGGGTTTCAGTCATGTATAGTCAACTATGATCGAAAAAATTAAATGGAAAATTCCAGAAATAAACAATTCATACATTTTAAATAACTTTTATTACAGCATATTGTTACCATTATTCTATTTTATTATTAGATATCATTGCTAATCTCTTACTTGCCTAATGTATAAATTAAAATTTATTATAGGCCTATGAGTACAGGAAAAATATATTAGGGTTCAGTCATCCACTGGGGATCCTGGAAAGTATTGGCTAAGTGACAACTGCTACATTTGAAAACTTTCAAATGTTCAGAAAAGTACATAAAACAATTTAATGAGCCCATTTGGACATTTAACAGTTACTAACATTTCACCATTTTTGCTTCATATTTGCTTTTTTATGATTTGCTAAAGTATTTTAAAGTAAATGATGAGCATCAAAAGATCACAACCTTAATTAACATGGGCAATGTCTTCTAAAACCACAATTCCTTCATCACATGTAAGAAAATAAGTTTCTAAAAATCATCTTACCCACAGATCATATCCAAATTTTTCCAGTCATCCTACATAATATTCCACAGCTGGTTTGAGTCAGTGCAGACCAGTTCCCCTCCTCTTCTTTGCCTCATGCTGTTGTCTTTTCTTTCATGCTGAGGATAGAACCCCAGGCCTCATGGTTGCTAGGCAAGTGCTCTACCACTGCACTACATTCCCAGCCCTGGTACAAATATTCCCAAGGTGATGACTTCTCTTTATATTTCAGCATACTTGCATGCTCAAACTCTCCAGATGCTAAGGTTGGCTGAATTTCATTCCCAACGGGCTGCTATTTCCATGGTAGAATTGTTTCCCTCTTCAACCAATATCAATCAATACGTGTCAGAAATTTCCCTCCTTTTAAGACTGGATAATATTCCATTGTATGTATGTGCATATGTTGTATAACCATTCATCCATCAAGAGGTGTTGGAGGGCTGGGGATGTGGCTCAAGCGGTAACGCGATCGCCTTGCATGCGAGAGTCGCGGGGTTCGATCCTCAGCACCACATAAAAATAAAATAAAGATGTTGTGTCCACCGAAAACTAAAAAATAAATATTAAAAAAAATTCTGTCTCTCTTTAAAAACAAAAACAAAACACCTAGCCTCCTCCAAGCCTTTCAGCAAAGACTCACCTGTCCTGCCTCCTGCCTGATGTATTTCAGCACCCTTTAAAAAAAAAAAAAAAAGAGGTGTTTGAATTGTTCCTTATTCTTTTTAAAATATTTTCCATTTGTTCTTTGTAGTTATACAGTGAATAGAATGTATTTTGACAATCATACATACACAAAGTATAACTTCCCTCCTTCTTCTTCTTCTTTTTTTTTTTTTTAATTCAGTCTCTATAGAGACTGTCAAAAATTGCCAGTGTTGCTTATATTGCAGGTCATCAAGGCCGGGTATTGGAAAAAGTTTTCAATTAGCAATAATCACACCTCAGATAAACTTTATTGGCTATGATACTGCCACTACGCAAAGCTGCCTTTCTTATTCTTTATGATGCTCCATTTTTCTCTATTTGGATGGGTGGGAGCCCTTTCTAGTCAGTCCTGAGATGTTTGTCAAGATGCTACTGATCTTTGATAATTAGATTTCTTTCTTATTTTTGGAGAAGGAGACAAATACTGGGGACTGAACCCCGGGGTGCTGTATCACTAAGCTACACCCACAACAGAGTTACAGCCAAAATACCGTCGCATACAACTTACATACAATGTTTTCTCTGATATGTGGATGCTGATCCATAATGGGGGTCAGGGGCAGCAAGGGAGGAATAGAGGGACTTTGGATTGGGCAGAGGGGAGTGAGGGGAGGAGAGGGGACAGGGAGTGAAAAAGATGGTAGAGTGAGACAGATATCATTACCCTAGGTACATGTAGGATTGCAGGAATGGTATGACTTTACATCATGTACAACCAGAGAAGTAAAAAGTTGTGTTCCATTTGTGTGTAATTGAAATGCATTATGTCATGTATAACTAATTAGAATAAATTTAAAATTAAAAATTAAGAAAGATTAATAATGTTTCCATATTAGTAATTACTGCTAACAATTCACCCCATGCAATAACAGCTTATAAATAACAATAATCATTTTTTTTAATCTGTCTTAATTTCTGTGGTTTAGGATTTGAGAATAAGTTGGTTGCGCAGTTTGGGTTTCTGGTCTCTTGTGAAACTGCAGTCAGATATTGGCTGAGGTGAGCCACAGTCATCTGAAGGCTTGACTGGGGCTAGAGAAGCCAGCCATTTGTTGGACAGCTCCCTCGTGTGGCTGGCAAGTTGGTGCTAGCTGTTGATGGGAGGCCTCAGTGCCTCTCTGCCTGAGCTTCTCCACAGAGCTGCTTGAGTGGCCACACAACATGGCAGCTGGCTTCCCTTAGAGTGAATGGCCCACGAGAGCAAGACAGAAGACATGGCTTTTATGGCCTAGACTTGGGAACCACACATTTTCACAGGTTTCTATTGGCCACCAAGATCAGTCTAGAACCCAGCCAGGAAGGGACCACACAAGGGTATGAACACTTTGAACCAGAGCTCACCATAATAAACACCACTGGAGTTAAAGTAGACCTCAGATATACTAAAATAGCTTAAAAAAAAAGAGAGACATAAGAAGAAAAATAATAGGACATATCCAATTTTTTATTTACCTTTTATGTGCACAAAACCACACTTGAAATATATTTTAGTTTCATAAATAGGGGAGACTAAGAAGACTAAAGCTACCTCTTCCTGGTGAATATATATGCTATATTATATGTATGGTAGCCAGATATTCATCACTGTGACAAAATACCAGAGAGAATCAACTTACAGTGTGGAAAGGTTGATTTTGGCTCACAGTTTCAGACCAGGTCACTTGGCCCCATTGCTTTGGGCCTTTGGTGAGTCAGAATATCATTACAGGGAGCACAGTAGTAGAGCAGAGCTGCTCACCTCATGGTGGCCAGGAAGCAAAGAGAGAGACAGAGAGGAAGAAAAACTAACCCTTCAAACATACACCCCAGCTATGACCTACTTTCTCCAACAGGGACCCACTTCCTTCTGTTTCCACCTCCTCTCAGTAGTGCCACCCATCAGGGACCCATCCTTCGGCACCTGAGCTTTCAGAGGACATTTCAGACCCAACCATAGCAGTAGGTATGTTTTATGCCTCAGAGATATAAATCATGTGAAGTGTAGGTATCACAGAAACTAACTAGCTACTGAGATCACAGCTAAACTCAATTTGGTAAATTTTTTTTACTGTGTTAGTAAAAGAAATATGAAAGACATTGTTTTTGAGTCTAAGCATAATTACTTTTTCATCTCAATAAACATCATCTTTTATCTGTTCAGAGTGGATTACAACTGAGATTTTTCTAGGCAGTGTATGAAATTGTAGGTTCTCTGTTCACTGGAAATTCAACTCTTCCGTTCTCTCTTTGAAAGTCTTTGTATTTTGATGATTTCTGAGTGTCCTTCCTTCCTTCCTTCCTTCCTTTCTTTCTTAGCAATATTGGGGGTTGAACCCATAGTCTCAGGCTGAGCATGCCAAGCAAGTGTTCTCCCACTGAGACACAAGACACAGCCCTGATCACCCCTGACATTTTTTTTTTTTTAGACAGAATCTCTAAGTTGCTAAGTTGTCCAGGTTGGCCTCAAACTTGTCATCCTGTCCCCGGCCCCTGTGTAACTGGAATTATAGGCATGTACCACCAAGCCTGGCTCATATTCTGGAATTTTTCACCAAGAGTAGGTTGATCTCTTTGGCATTTATACTCAAATGACTAATGAGGCCTCTTCATGCAAAATCCATGCATTCTAACAGCACACCATAGTCCCAGGAGATGTGTTCAGTCAAGTCTGACAGCAGCCAGGTCATGAGTCCCACAGCAGAGTCACAGCCAAAATACCGTCCCATACAACTCACTTAAAATCAGCTGTATGTGTATTCTGAGGGCGACACAGAGACAGATGGAAGATAAAGTGAGTTTATATCGCAAAGGAGATTTTGGCTTACTGTTCCCATCAATAAGTTCATGCCCTGGAGTAGGAGAGACGTTGGAGTTTGGAACCAAACACTCCTTTGTGTGCTCTTGGTTTCTAGGTTTCTCTCCCGGTGCGTTTCACCCTATGAGGGGGCTTCTACTGTGTTGGGCACATATTTCTGATAGAGCAAGACCGTGTGTGCCCAACAACTACTTCTGCTGATGCTCAGATGGAAACAAACACACAGAAGTCAATCCATTTATCTCTGGGAGCAGGAGAAAGGGCTATTTTTGTCAGTAAATATGTCACTTATCATTGTATTATGTAAAGATGGACCCCAACATCAGACCTTACTGAGAGCCACAGATTATGAACAATAATTTTGGCAATACTAAATTCCAGCTTATATACATTCTTTTTGATTGTTATTTGTGTGAATGTGTGTGTGTGTGTGTGTGTGTGTATGTGTATGTGTATGTGGGTGGGTGTTCTTGTGGTGCTGGGGATTGAACCCATGGCCTCACTGATGGGCTCCACCATTAGGCATGTGCTCCTTCACTAAGCTTACCTCCAGCCCCACGTATATTCTTTTATTTTGTATGTGTACTTTTAAAAATGTATTTGTTCCTTTTAATTACACATGACAATAGAATGTATTTTGACATACACACATGGAGTATGACTTCCCGTTTTTGTGGTTGTACATGATGTGAGTTACACTGGTCGTGTATTCATATATGAACATGGGAAAGTTATGTCTGATTCTTTCTACTGTCTTTGCCATTGCCATCCCCTCCTCCTTCCCCCCACTCCGCCCTGTCCAATCAAGTGAACCTCCACTCCCCACCCCTGACCCTGCCTATTGTGAGTCAGCATCCAAATATCAGAGAGAACATTCGGCCTTTGGTTTTGGAGACTGGCTTATTTCTCTCAGCATGATAGCCTCCAGTTCCATCCACTTACTGGCAAATGCCATAATTTCATTCTTCTTTATGGCCGAGTAATATTCCATTGTGTATATATACCACATTTTCTTTATCCATTCATCTGTTAAAGAGCACTTAGATTGGTCCCATTAGCTTAGCTATTCACATTGAGTTCCTGAGGGTATCAATCAGCTTCATCACTGGGACCAAGATATGCAACAAGAACAACTTAGAGGAGGGAAAGCTTATTTTGTCTCACGGTTCCAGAGATTTAGTCCATGGTTGGCTGAGTCCATTGCTCTGGGCCCAAGGTGAGGCAGAACATCATTGCAGGAAGACATGGTGGAGGATCACTGCTCCATTCATGGCTGACCAGAAAGCAGAGAGTGTGGGGAGCAGGCTGTGCCCTGCGCTGAGAAACTCCATGTATAGAACAGCAGTTTAGGGGCTGTGCCTAAACCTGAGTTGCTCCATTTTTGTAAAGCAGCAGTTTGCCACGAGTTGCTCCGTTGTGAGTGCAAGTGCCAAGGTAGAATGACTCCATACCTTGTTTGTGCGCGTGGATGACCACCATCTGACTGGCACCACCGTAATGCACCAACTGATAAATAACTGACATGTGCCAACTTATCAAGCTGAATCAAGGAGCACCTGGACACTTGGATATTCCACATCCTATCGGGAACACCAGACGTGGGAGCTCATCACCCTCAACAGAGGCACCCCCCTCGCTGGAGACCTGCAAAAGGAGGGACCCCTGGGGCTCAACACGATGACACCCTTGACCCCATCACTGGCCACTCATCACAAGCCTTGCCCAGGAAAACCACCCCAGTGACAAACCTCTGAATCTCTGTGCTCGGGCTGCAGCAGAGCACAGTTTCTCCTGCCCATGATGACCACAGAGGGCCCATGCTAAGCTGACACCTTGAGCTGACACCTGAAACTGAGACTGTTGTCCATCCTGTTGGACCCTCTGCTTTGACGAGTCTGTGGAACTGGGGAACTGGTTCCTTAAAGTCCTTATGGCCACCCACAGTGACCCTGACTCTCAGCATTCATATCTCTGCCTGTGCTGGTGGCCCAGCGTCCTCCTACCTGCTGCCCTCTTAGCCTTTTCTTAGTCTTTCTATATGTCAGCAGATGATGTATGAGAGTGACTTGAATGTTATAGATATTAGAAATTAAGACTCGAATGAAAGAACTTGTGTTCACTATCAGTGAACCGAAATGGATGAAAGTGGTGTAGCCTGTGAATTTGTTGTTATTCAATAAATTCTGACGTTGTGGAAAGACACAAACGTGTTTGGTCTATGTTAGTGAATTATCTTGTTCATGACAGAGAGGGAAGGGCGAAGGGGCCACAGGAAAGATGACCCCTTTCAGGGCAGCCCCCAGTAACCCACCTCTTCTGCCACATCCCACCTGCCCACAGTTACCACTCAGTCCTTTTGACTAGGATGGACTGATTAGCTTACAGTCATTTCACCCCTGAGCATTCCTGAATTGATACAGGAGCTCTCGGAGGATGCCTCATATCCAAACCAAAATGCTAAGAAAACTGTGTTAGTTCTCCAGAGA